CTTCTCAAGCATTTGAGACTCGGTAATTGTTTCTCCACAGTATCTCAATTTAGCCACAATTCCTAATACAGCAGAATTGTAATTCATCACCTTGTCGAAATCTTGGAACCTCAGGTTCTGCCATTCATCTCGAGCAAGTGGAAGTGTTATGTCTTTCTGATGATCAAAACGATCTTTCAGAGACTTCCATAGCTCTTTAGGGTCTCTCATGTTGGCATAGTCATAAATAATACTTTCATCAAGGTGTCTTCTAAGGAAGATCACTGATTTAACAATTTCTTGAGGCGTTGAAGTATTATTCTCTGTAATGGTTTCAGATAAACCAAGAGATGCAAGATGAAGTTCGACTTCGGTGACCCAAGAAATGTAGTTGGTACCGGTGATGTCTAGAGCGGGAAATTGGAGCTTCTTGATGTTTGCCATTGATTTTCTAAGGCACAAAATAATAAATTTTATTAGAATTTCATTAATTTTAAATAGAACCGATTACATTGATAGTACACGCAATTACAAGTAAAAGTAATGCTAATAAACATAAGGTGATGTTAATTCCAAAATATTCATGAGTAGCTCCTTCAACAAGGATAAAATACATAGACGAAGAAATAAAAATCGCACATAAGATTAAAAACAATCGAATCTTTTTTTTTTTTTTTTTTTTGTTTGCAAAAAAAAATTTTAGGAGAACGATTTGTAAATATTTGAGAGATGAAGAAATGTTTTGGATGAGAGAATGAAGTGAAAATGAGTTGTTTTTATAGATGAAAACATTGTTCATTAGCCGTTAACTAGCCATTTAAAAAGTAATTTTTTTTATTAATATTATTGTTTAAATTTATTTATGACCGTTGGAAGTAAAAACAAAAAATTAAAATTAATCAAAAGTTATTAGTGAGTAATTATCATAATTGTCAAATTTATCAGTTTAAACATAGATATAAATATAGGTGAAATCTTAAATATATTTAGTTATATATATGGTGATAAAATTATCTATCAGGTTTTCAAAGTGAAATGTTAAAGTGATGATCAGAATAATAAATTATGATAACAATAATAAATTAAAATGTTTAGGCGGTATACCGGCCATTATGGTGGCTTAAGCAACCATTATAAAATTTATAATAAAATTCGGGGAGGCAGAGCCGCGCTCCGGTAACAATAAAGCTAATGGATAAAAATGGGGCGGCAGTGCCGCACTCGGGTAAACATAAACATAACAAATAAATGGAGGTCCCACTCCGAACATAATAATCAAAAATAAATTTTAATAGTAGAGTGATCGTGCTGATAACGTGTTATAATTATATTTAGATTATATATTGTTTTACGTTGTATTAGTTTTTATATATGTATAATGTGCTCATAATACATTATATATGTATGTAAGTGATAAGAAAGAAAGCATACCAAAGAGAGAAGAGATATTGTTATTAATGTTCGAAAGGGGCAAGTAAAAATGATCGTACTACAAGCTCTTATATAGGCAAAACTAGGGTCAGCCCGCCCTACGGGCGGGATATATTTTATTTGTTAACTATGTTATTATTTTTTGTATGATTTTAGGATTTGTGGTTTATGTTTGCATCTGTAAGAGATGTGTATGATAATGATTTTTGTTTTCCAAAAAAATTTAAGTATGAAAGGATTTTATGTGATAAGATATATTTAAAACTAAATAGTTGTTTCTATATTAAAGAATGTGGCGTTGACATGCTGTGAAGGCTTTGAATCGTCTTTACGTTGTTTTCTTTAACAAAAATTGATTTCATATCCAGGTGGTTTGTAATATTTTGGGTTCGGAAGAATTAGGTTGTAGGTAATTGTTTGTGTATGTTATAAGAGTAATTATTTTTATGTTGAAATTATATTCTTTCGACGTGTTATTAGAGTGGAAGTGGTGATTATATGAAGCTGTATTTCTTATTAAAAGTTGAATGTTATAATGAATGCGAAGAAGATAAAGTGAACCTAATCAAATTTTTTTTAAAAAAATTGAACCCCAAAAGTGTAAAACTGTGTAGCGGTCAATGAGTGTAGAGATTTGTTAGTCACCGTAAAACAAAATCCAAGAACTTCTCCATTTGTATTCCTCATGTTCTCTTGTGTGTAGCAAAATTATGGCATAGAGATAGGTACCGAGATAGTTACCTTTACTACAGTTGTTGTTTGCCAATAGGAAAAGATGTTTTAGCTTTGTTGCGGCTTTGTTTCATTTTCAAAATTGTTTGATTTTTCCTAATATTAATTCTTGCATAGAAATAACAAAAAAATTACATTAATTCTTGCATACAAAAAAATAAAAATTCAATTAAAAGTTTTCTCTGTTTTCATTGCATTTTTATTATTTCATTATTATTTAATAATATACTTGTTTCATCATTTAAAAAGATATAAAACTGTTATTGTTTTAATTTATTCTCAGTATTTGTTCTATTTTAACTTTGTTAATAACTAAAATAGTTTTAAGACTGTACTCGATTATGTTCAACACACAAAACATGAATAAATTGTTATATGTTATTTTTTTGAATTTGACGACACTTTTTGCATTTATACATTTTTCTTAAAATTATTAAGTTATACAATGCAGAAATAGGTTATTTATTATAATAAAATTACTTAAAATAGGTAGGTAAAGGAATCCTATAAAAATTGTAACTATATATAATTTTATATGTGATTATTTTTAAAATCAAATAAATCATGCTATCTGAATTCATAGTTTTGATTTTAAAATAAATGATAAAATTTATTTTACACTGAATTTATTATAATTAATTAATCTTATTTTTAAAATTAGTTATGTCATTAGTAAATAACTATTTATTTTATTTAGTAGATATTATAATTTGATTTAAATTTAATTATTTTATATAAATATTCAAACTATACATTTAAAGTGAATGATATTTAGTCATCGAATTTATATCATTTACATAGAAGTTATAATTTAGTACAAATAAATAACTATAACTAAATTTTATTAATTTCATTAATTTAGATAAATTATAATTAATTTTTAGCGATATACAATGTTAAATGATTTTGTATTCCTTTTATATATCCACATGTAAGTAAATTTTAGAAAATGATAATAACGTTTATATTTATTTCAAATTAATGTACTATATATTTAAATTATTAAAATGATAAGATAATATGATATCTATATACATTCTTTTTTTTATTATGAATTTATCTTCTTCATATGATGTTGAAAATATCTATATATTTTCTATAAAAATGCTATTTATTTTACTATAATATCATATTAGATCAGTGTACTCGCGGATTATGTGTAATAGTTTTTTTGTCTAAACTATATTTAATGTAAAATAGTGTTAGGAGACAATGTTTTATGCTTTACCGCTTTTGCTATTAGGGGACAATAAAAACAAACCCGGTCGTTCTACAAAATACTTACCTCTTGATGAAGTGATGAATATAAGAGCTAGCCCCACACTACTGACTTGCGGACATCATTTCATATTCATTGCCTCTCAAGTGTCTTACATGGAATGTTCTCTAAAGAAAAGAACAATGATAGTTATGCTTGTGTGATGGAGAAGTTGATTGAAGAAAAAGAGAGAAAGATTGTTTATATGTTAGATGCCGAGAATAAGTTGGTTCTGTAAGCAGCACAAAATAAAACGATGGCCAGTAAAGTCATAGCCTCCAAAGACAATGCCAGTTGCAAAGATTATTTGAAGCATTTGGAGGAAGTTTTCCAGCTATCTGGTGTAGGAGGAGGCACGACTTTTTCTTTTGAGATAGTCATATGATTATTCATGTTGAGCAGTTAATATGTGAAGCACTTGGAAGAAGTTTTAAGAAGAAAGAAACTCACTATCTAAGTTCAAAAAAATAAAAAAAAACTCACCATCCATATTAAAGCAATGAGCATGAACCCAAACTATAGAAGAGGTACAAAGAGAACGTAAACATGAAGATTTGATGTTCATGCAAGGTTGAGTACTTTCCACTATACAAATGGTGATTGAGACTGCATAAATCTGTTAGAAAACATGGGAAAACAAAATGGGATTGTATAAGAGAAAAGATACAGTGAAAAACTATAGCTTAAAAGAGAGAACTGATTGTACAGCTCATTATTCTTTGGGAAATAGCTCGTGTGGTTACAACGCACTGATGATAACACAGAGTCAAGGCTCGCATGGTCAGAAGTGCCTCATGCAAATCTGTAGCAGCAGCAACAGCGATACCAATGTTGGCTCTCTTCAAAGCTGGAGCATCCATCACCAGTCATCCTACATATATGCTTCAGTTCTTGCAACTTCTTCACAAGCTCGTACTTCTGCTCTGGCTGAAACATAAACCAAAGCAATCCTGTTCTGGCTGAAACATAAACCAAAGCAATCGCTGTCAAGATAGAGAGAGAGAGCATGTTTATGGATAAGACATTAGTCATTAAAAGTAGTTTGTTTCTTCCATCCGTTCCAACCACTCCAGTTTTTGGAAGCATCTTTCACATAGAGGTATCACGCAATGTAGACAAAAGTATTAGTAAACTGCAGCAAAATTAAATTACATCAGCAGAAAGTATCAAAATAAAAGAACAATATGAATTTGGTGTCAAGAAGGTTGGCAACACTAACACAATTCAAGTAAACAGTCTGGTCATGTTTTGTATCTTAACGTTGACAGCATGTGTTTAGGATGCAATAAAAATAATGATTGCAAGTACTAAAAAAATCGAACTTTAAGACTCTCAATATTCTGACTTGAGCTTATTGAAAGACAGTAACTATTATTAACATTATATCTATTATATAATGCCAAGATAGATATACTGGTGAGTAACCTTTATATATATAGCTATCACTTATTTAATGGCTGTCTTCTAAGCTATTTAAGACCTTTTCGTCGTTAGAAATCTCAACATGCTTCACATGGATTCGATCTTTACCCTTATATAAGGCTCCAAGCTTTTTGTTGTTCAAAAAATGAAAGAGCATAAGATGGTTACCTAGATCTGATTATAGGTAATACTTAATCGGTGGAAAAGGAAAATAGCAATAGATGTGATCACCAAGGTTCTTCGCCCATACCAGCTCCACATCACTAAACCTCTCGTTGGCGTGAAAGTACCCAACAATACTCATCCACGTAATGGTTCTCTATCTAAACACATACAAACAGCAAAAATCATCCTTTTTCGCATCAAACGCACACATGGATACAAACACTAAATCTCTATCAAACACAGCTACAGAACAACGTTGTGTTTGTTGTTAAAGCGAAAAAAATCATGTTCCAAACCTTCTATGTTAGAATAGACACAACAATAAGACTTAGCTGCAACTAAAGCAACATACAGAGAAGCAAGGAGACAATTTCATTTTGTAGATGAACTTAAACTCCACAATCCGTAGGCCAATATCAAAGTCCAATTTCGAAGCCAATTCAAAACATAAGAAGAAGAAGAGAAAGTAACCATGATGAGCGATCTCGAGAGGAGGAAGGAGAATGAGGTTAGAGTGAAAGAGCGGCACCGAATCAGAGATCTCCATGACTCCTTCGTCCTTATGGCTGATTCGACATGAGAACTCCAGAGGAGCGTCTGGAGACGGAGAAACCAAAAAGCGTCGTGTTGTGGAGTGTAAAGATTAAGTCTGATGATGGATCAGCTGTGTTTTGATCAGACCAAGAAAACTGAATCACCCATCAATCGGTTTCTTCGATTGAGGCGGAGAAAACATGGGAGATACAATTGAAAGAGATGGATTTTGGGAGTAAAAGTTGTCCTACGTGGACTTATCTAGTTGGCATCCTATGTGGCACTCTAAAATAGGAGAGATACATTACGTTATATAATAGATATCCAACAATTTTTACTGTGAGCATTAATGGTTATGGGATCCATTTCAAAGGCAATACGTAAAGTTTGCTTGACTTTTGCAACACACTTCATTTTTTCAGTTTATTTACACTATTTTACCAGTGAAATTATTAGTTAGCATCTGCTTTATTAAAACAGAAATACCAATAAAAAATACCACTTCAATTTCAGTTTATTTACAGTGTTTTACCAGTGTAATTATTAGTTACCTTATCTTTTAGGATTCTTTGTCTTTTCATAATTAGTTAATGCATTTCTAAAATTAAATTCTAATTAAAAATTATGGAAACAATAATCAATAAACCTATCTTTTAGTATTTTTTTTCCTTTCCTATTTTATCATATATACATGTATATTTTAGTATACATTATCATAAATTTTGATTCAATAAATATATTTTCCAAATATACTGATCATATTCTAAAAATAGGAATGATACTATTGCTGATTTACAAGATAAAATAAAACTACTCATATAAAGTACTAAATTATTATGTTTAAAAATATCATATTAAACAATTTTTTAAACAAGTAAATTTAAAAATATATCTATTATCACTTATACAAATAAACATTTATTTATAAAAAAAAATTAAAACCAACACCAATGCAGGTGTACTTCTCTAATGTTTAATTTATTTATATGACATCAATAAATTATTAACAATCACTAACAAATAAATCAATATAATACGACTAACTTTATAAATACATCATGAAAAATAAAAAATAAAACAAAAAATAAAATCCGCATGGTCGTGCGGGTCAATGTCTAGTATCATCTTAAAAGAAAAATTAAGTATTAAATGGGATAATTAACAGTTGAAAAATGGATAATTAACTTTTAAAAAGCATTCAGTATAGGGGAGAGGAGCCACATCTTTAAGAGTAAAACAATACCTTCTTTTGGTGATTGTCTGCTAATTTGCTTTTACAAAACTATATATGTAGTCATTAAATTGCTTTTACACTGAAAAAAACTTTGCGATTGAAAAAAATATATGGGTGTTTGTACTTTGAGCAAATCATTATCCATTCATCATTATACTGAAAAAGCAAAGTTTCGTTTTGTCGTATTTTATTTATGAAATTCCAAGGAAAATATAAATTTGAAATTTTGAAAAAGGGAAAAACAAACTGTATTTTTGCCGCTCTCCGACGAATCGTCTGGCTTCTTCTTCATCTTCTTGGCTTTTCTCTCTCTGCTTTTCAAATTATATATAAAAAAACTTCTTTTGATAAAGTATAAGCATTTTGGTAGTAGTATTAGTGTAATTCGATTCCCTGCTCATCTACACACGGTGTCGGTAAGAATCAAGGTCCCAAAAGACTTAATACAATTTACTATATTTTATTTAAAAGGTCGAATATTTATAAAAATAAAATTGGCTTTGTGCATATGAAGAGTATGATTACGGGAGCTGGTTCTTACTTTACATGATTACTGTTTTGATGATAGCAATCATAAATCTTTGCTGAAAGCTACATCTCGATCTTATTTGGTGCATGACGTGACACTGATTGGATTTCTACCATTTCTGTAGCTGATTGATTCAATTACGTTTATTTTAAAATTTTAATATTTGTGCGGTATGTGCTTCAATATCTCCGTGTCTGCTTATAGTGTTGAAATAATCTTATTAAGAGTAGATTACTTTTCTTTCTTTATCTCTTCTCATATACTATATATTGCTTTCTGTTTGTTTCAAGAATCCGTGGTGAAACTTCGATGGAGCGGTATGAAGTTCTTGAGCAGATTGGGAAAGGCTCTTTTGGTTCTGCTCTTCTTGTCCGACACAAGCAAGAACGAAAGAAGTATGCATATGTCTCTACTTTTTTTTTTTTTTATTGTTTCTTATCCATAATTACTCTGCTTCTCCCTAAATCCTCACAGATACGTCTTGAAAAAGATTCGTCTCGCTCGTCAGTCTGATAGGGCTCGCCGATCAGCTCATCAGGAGGTCTCCTCTTCTCTTCCAAGTTCCACCACTTTCTTTTTTATTAATTGTTTATGGTTTTTCCAAGATTAATACTTTTTTTTTAAGATGGTGAGTTTGAACCTCGGTTGATGTCTCAGATGGAGCTCATTTCTACTGTCCAAAATCCATTTGTTGTCGAGTACAAAGATTCATGGGTTGAAAAGGTCTCTTGTGCTTTGCTTCTATTTGATTCTTTTTGCTCATTCTCTGCAAAGAAACAAAAACATGTTTCTGATACTTAGCATATCTTGTTTCCAGGGTTGCTATGTGTGCATCGTTATTGGATACTGCGAAGGCGGAGACATGTAAGAAAAAGAAAAAACAGTTTTTAATCTTTCATTAGTTACAAAAAACTTTGCCTCTTAATTTCAGTTTGAATCTTATTACAGGACAGAAACTATAAAAAGAGCTTGTGGTGTTCATTTCCCTGAAGAGGTTTGTTAGTCTTCACTTGTTACACAATCTATGACTTCCTTTAATATTTGACCAATCAAAATGCAGAAACTTTGCCAATGGCTTGTTCAACTCCTAATGGCACTCGATTATCTGCACTCCAACCATATTCTCCACCGTGATGTCAAGGTACATACAAGTGATAACCTCATGGCTTCTAGAACTCTCTTCACTTTCAAGCAACTTACTGTCGTTCCACGTTTCTTTTCAGTGTTCTAATATATTCTTGACAAAAGAGCAAGACATACGACTTGGTAAGTTTATGAGTTTCACCTTGTCATTGCCACTTGAGATCTCTTAACACGTCCACCATTATGGTCTTAAGGTGACTTTGGCCTCGCTAAGATTCTCACTTCTGATGACCTTACATCTTCTGTAAGTGAGACTAGCAGTTTTTCTTGTGTTCTTTCTGAGACAGCACTGTAATGAAAAAAAAAACACTGTAATGAAAAAGTCAAGTGTTTTTTATAGGTTGTTGGGACACCAAGTTACATGTGCCCTGAGCTTCTTGCCGACATACCTTACGGATCAAAGTCAGACATTTGGTCTTTAGGTAAATAACTAACTATGCATTTCTTCATTAGTTTTCCAACACTTTTTTCAGCTTATGACTAACGTTTAAGACATTTTGGCAAGCAGGATGCTGCATGTATGAAATGTCTGCTCATAAACCTCCTTTCAAAGCTACTGTAAGTGTCCTTGTTAAGTCTTGTGGATCAGTTTTTAAAGTTATATATGGATTTAAAAACACTTGAGATGAAATGTGACATATTCTTGATAACAGGATGTGCAGACATTGATCAGCAAAATACACAAATTGATAATGGATCCCATCCCTGCCATGTACTCCGGCTCATTGTAAGTCGTCATTCTCTCCGTTAACCACTAAATCGACATAGCCTGTAAACCAACCTATTTCCTCTGCTTATTTGCAGCCGAGGCCTCATTAAAAGCATGTTGAGGAAAAATCCTGAACTCAGGCCAAGTGTAAGTTTCATTAGTAATTTTGCTTTTTGTAGAGATTAAAAGTGAGGCTAAAAGCATATAGTTGTTGTCTAACTGCAGGCTAGTGAGCTGCTTAACCACACTTATCTTCAGCCTTACATCAGTATGGTTTATATGAAGCTAGAGAGTCCTAGAAGGAGCACTTTCCCACCATCCCAGTGGCCGGAGACGAAGGAAAGAAGGCGTTCGTTTAGTAACGACAGGAGATTGAATCCGAGTGTCTCTGATACAGAAGCAGGCTCTGTGACTTCTTCAGGGAGAGCATCCCATTCACCAATGTTTAGTGGAAGAAAAGTGTCAGAAGTAACTGTTGGAGTCGTTAGTGAAGAGATTGTTGCACAAAGGCAGAGTGGAGTACTTAAGAAGCAATCTGGTGCAGCAGCTAGAACCCCGAGAGTGGCCAGAACCTCAAAGAGGCTTGAAACGCCGTCAAGCACCACCACCCCTCGTAATGTTGAACTGGTAAGGCTATCTCAGACCCAGCTCCAAAACACTATTTTAGTGTTATTTTCACAACCTTTCCAATCCAATTCTAAAAGTTATACTATTTTAGTGTAACACTATAACTTTACAACAAATTTGGTGTATATTATACTGAAATAGTGTAACTTTTAGTGTTGATTTTGGGATAAGTTTAATGTGAAAATCGCATTCAAATAGTGTTTTGAAGTTAGATTTATTCTTAGTGTTAAAATCTGAAATAGTATAATATTAAAATAGTGTTATTGCTCAAAAAATAAATTAAATAGTGTTATAGATTAGAGATACCCTAGGAATGGAAACAAAAATTGAAAGCTTTTAAATGTAATAAAAATAAAAAGAGTGTAGTGATCGCTTTTCTGTGTTGTTTAACAGACAAATCCAAGGCGGAGAGCATCTCTTCCGTTGGTCGTGGAAAACCCTTACACTCGCGAATCGGATATCATTGCTATTTGCGGTTCACCAGACGTTTCTGTAAACGCTCCTAGGTTCGACAAGATCCTTGAATACCCTGAAGATCTTTTCCAGGACAGAGAGACAACCTCAAGAGAAGTAGTAGCACGGCGATCTTCTTTTTCGAATTCGAACCGTTCGATGATGACGAAAGACAAGTGTACAACTGTACAGACAAGGAGGTCAGTGTCGGAGGTAAAACAGAGAAGGTTCGACACGTCGTCGTATCAGCAGCGTGCGGAGGCTCTGGAGGGACTGCTGGAGTTCAGCGCAAGGCTATTGCAGCAGGAAAGGTACGATGAGCTTGGGGTTCTCCTTAAACCTTTTGGACCGGAGAGAGTGTCTCCGAGAGAGACGGCCATCTGGTTGACTAAGAGTTTCAAAGAAGCTTCCGTGTAGTTCAAGCTTTCTCTTTTTCTTTATTTTGTTTTGTATAATAAATAAAAACAAAATATTGGGCTTTGAGGGCCTTATTGTTGTGTGTTGGGTGGGCCACTTTTAATTGTGAATGTATAATGGAAAATGTGTGGGGTCGTTTCGTAAAGATTAATAAAAGATGGGGCTCTTATTGTAATAATGGTGAGGGGGTTGTTTTCGTAAAATGGATAGAAGGGCCCAGTGGGGGAAGGGAAGTCAAAGGAAACATGAAGGGAGGAGACAAGATGGAAGCAGAGATTCTGGAACCTTACCAATTGTCTTTCTCAGATCTTCTTGACCGAAAACGATGTCAAATGATCTCGAGAAATGTGATGGAAGCTCTTGGCCCAAACGGCCCAGGCCTGCTTTGCATCACCGGCGTTCTTGGCTCCGCCCTCCTCCGCCGTAAGCTCCTCCCAATGGCTCGCAAACTGGCTCTGCTTGATCCCGATAAGAGGAATCGCATTCTAAAGGTAATCCCTTTTTTCTTAAAATGAAAAACTGATGCTTTCCTCTCAAGATTGGAACTTCCTATGACCTCTTTTAAGTAGGATATAATTTAATGATGAACATGATTCTAAAAAATTAATTTTAAAAATAGTATTGATACGAATTGTAAGAATAGTAATCTTAAGATTAGTTAAATAGTAACCAGAGAGAATTATTTGATAGTAATTTAATATTTCTGAAATTCTAACAGAAGATAATCCGAAAAGATTATATGATATTTTTATTAACTTTTGTGTTAGTTTAGTTGTCTTTCTAATTCAGAACTTTGATCTTTTGAAATTTATTCATACTGTGTGTTTTTTGCATCATTTACTAACAAAGGAGCACCATTTGGGGAGCGACGTGCCTCTCAAGAATCCAGAACGACTTGTCTCTTCTTTTGCTATGCAGCTCAATTATGAGCGTACTTCTAACTGGTATGAGCCTGGTTGTGGCGTTGGAGCTAAACTAGACTCTCTGGAGGAGGATGATGGTGACTTCAATAATCTTGGTGGTGTGTTTAGGGAACTAGGGTTTTGCATGATGGAGTTGGGTTTGTCCATAGCCCGAGTATGCGACAGAGAGATTGGTGGAGGGTTGTTAGAGGGGAGCTTACTTGATTCCTCCACTGCTAAAGGACGCCTTATACATTACCACTCCTCTGCTGATCAGTGTCTTCTCAGACAAGAAGCCGCCGAGAGGAGGAAGCAATCTGGCAAACAAGTGAATTACAGAAATGGTTTGAGTGGGAGGAGTCAGTTTAGTCTCTGGCAACAGTGGCATTACGATTATGGCATCTTTACCATTCTAACTGATCCTCTCTTTCTATCATCCTATTCCTGCCAGGAATGCAATTTGATTAGCACACACTCTTATCTGCAGGTCTATCATCCCAGCGAGAACAAGTTCTACATGGTCAAGACTCCTCAGGACAGTTTTATTGTTCAAATTGGTGAATCTGCTGACATTTTGTCCCAAGGGAAACTAAGGTCGACCCTTCACTGCGTGTGCAGACCAGAGCATCTTGAGCACATAAGCCGCGAGACTTTTGTGGTCTTTTTACAGCCAAAGTGGAGCCAGACTTTTTCAGTGTCGGAATATACAATGGAACATCTAAGGGACTCAGATTGTCTACATGATACGGATGATGAGGTTTCTAAAGCAGACATTCATAAAATTGTTCCACCTCTATCGTCTCGGATAAGGGATGGGATGACATTTGCCGAGTTTGCTCGCGAAACAACCAAGCAGTACTATGGAGGCAGCGGCTTACAATCTAATAGATAAAACCTCCCTTGTTCGTTAAGGCATATGGAATATGAAACCCCCTTAGGTAAATAATGTGTGTGGTCTTTAGGTAGTCAAGTTCAGAGCCATATGTTTATTGTGAGTGTGAAGCCAAAGAAGAATGAGCCAAGAAGTGCTGCTTCTTTCTGAGAGAGAGAGACTAAAGGATTCGTCTTGTGTGTACTTCGATGTTGGAGCCCAAAAAAAAAAACAGTGAAAGCTGTTACATCGTTATCTCAGTCAAAAAGCTCTCCCTTTCAGTCAGACTTGCTTTTTTTGTTTTTCTTCTTTTTCCTGCTCTTCTTTAGTCTCTCTCCGTGACTCAGTTTGTGTTTCTGTTGTGTCTCCCCGGAGCTTACATCTCCCCTGTTTGTTAGCTTTCAAGAGTCGCATTAAGACAAAGTGGTGTTAATAAAGCAAAAGCTGCTTCTACACTGGCTTCTTCAGGGAATCAGCCTTTCTTTTTTTTTTTGGTTCTTGAACATATTTTCATGAATGGTTTTTGTACGTGTATATCAAATCGAGAAAAAAGGGTTATGGCTCGCAAACCCTTTTCTATTCTGAATTCAAAACAAAGAATTGAACTTTCTCTCTTCAAAGATGCTTGCTTTGACTTGGAGGTGCTTTTACATAGAAAAGGATCTTGTGGGTTTCGAAAATTTGGAAACAACTGATATGGTGTAGGTTATTCATAGGTGTCTATTGTAAGCATATCAAAAGCAAAAGAGTGACAGATTTAAAGGAAGAATAAAAATGGAAAAGAGGATTCATCATTCAAAGTGCTTACAATTCAAGTTTAATTGGTATAAAATACAAAACGTCCAAACAAAGAACAATGATTGCAGGCAAAGGAATAATCAGAGAGACAAAATGACAATTTTTCTAATGGATTATTTTTTTTTCAACAATAATAGAAAATGTGGGTATCCCTAGAATCAGACAGATCAAAAGGGAATAAAGGATGTATCTTTATCAAGTGGTCACCCACCTTCACTTGCAAAGTGCATGTGTATACTAATTTATGTAATGTGAGTTATCAAATACACTAAGCTTATTGTTCTTGGTTTAATTAACACTTTATTATGTTTGTAAAAGAAGAAGCTTTGATTGTTAGTCAAGCTTGAAGATATATGCTTGTAAAAACCTTGGATTGGACTGGATGTAGTTGAGCATATGCACTACTGTAAGGAAACAATTACGAGTTGTCACTGAAGTGGAAGAGGGAGAGAGGAAGCTGAAGACTGAAGTAATGAAAAGCACGCGAAGCAGCATGTGTAAAATGTACACACAAGTTGCAGCTTTGTGATTCAAAATCAAAGCAAAAGAGAGCTCTGAGTAGGACTATTTACAATCGTTTACACTATTTTTTTGTCTAAAATAGAGTCACTTTATAATAGAGTTGGAGTTTACTTCAATAGTACTCTATTTTCGAGTGAAAAAAAGAGTGATGAATAAAAAAAAACAAATTACTCTATATTTGGAATAAACCTATTTTTTTTCATTCTATTATAGAATGAAATATAGAATACCATTGAAACATTTTTACTCTAAAACTCTATTTTTGAGTGAAAAATAAAATAGGGTTGGAAATGCCTTAAAGCCAGGACCAACAACATCCTCTAAATAAAAAATTGTGGTTGCTCTGCTAACCGCTAACTAGTTGATTGATTAATAATTTCACCAAGAGTTTTATGTATTATGTAAACTATATAAACACACACAAAAAAATCAATTCATTTTGTCATTTTAAATGTCTTATAGATTAAATGATCATGAGACCTTTAGACTAAATGCTTTATTAATAAACACACTAAGAATTTAATGCTCTGTATAAACTATATAATCAAACACAGATACTCAGTTACTTTTGTAACTAGTTGCATACCCCCCGCACAAGCGCGGAGTTGGGGATCATTGATGTTTGTCTGTGTTTTTTTTTTTGGTTGTTGATTTAGTGGGTTATTCTAATAATATCAAATAATAATGAAATAGAAAGAATGTAGCAAGAGTATAAAGTGAAAATATTATATATAATGTGTTAAATGTTATTTATATGTGAAGTAAGGTTTAGAGGAATAACGGAATTATAATATAGTTTCTAGTGTATAACAATAGGTGTCTATCTTGTTTTTTATTTTTTTATGTTGGAAATAGTTTTTATATCAGGGGTCAAAACTTGATATAATTATTTATTTATAGTATTTATATTTGTACTAAACGATTTATCAGTTTGACTTTAATTTAAGCTAATATTTGTTGTTTGGGTTTCAATAGAGGGGTTTGGATATGTTTTTCTGTAAGGTTGAATTTTGTTCATGAATAATGTGGCATTTTTATTTACGGCGTCATCGACTGTGGAAATCCATTTGCTGAAGTCTGATAAAAATAAAATTATAGTAACTATTAAAATTGAAGAGAATTTACATAGTTATTTTATAAATAAAAAATACTTAAATTTTGTTGTTTTATTTGATTTCACATACATAATTTTTTGAAAATATATATTAGAAATATGTTCTAACAGAAAATATATATTAGGATATGATAGTGCCACGTGGGACTTATTTTGTTTTTTGTTTTTTGGACTATTCGTTTTTTGGACTATTCGTTTTTTAATCGTTTTTAATTGTTTTGGGTTTGAGTTCGTCAAACTTTAGGATTTTTCCCACTATTTTTTCGTTTTAAACAATAAGTTCAGAGGAAAAAAAAACATAAAAACATTAAAACTAAAATACCATATGATAATAATTCAAACCAAAAATTACATAACAGCTACGCGGTTTGAACCCACACACTGGGTTAAAGTATATTCATTGTTCATACTCATTTTAAACGAACTCTAAGCTTTTAAAATTTAAATGCACGGGACCCATAAACTTGTTTACGTAGACAGCTTTAGAAATCTTAGAAGGGAACTATTATAATATAGATTATAAATGTCTTATAGATCCAGTATTGTGGTTACTTAGATTAATCTAAAGGCAAAACATCCACAAAGATGGCTTTATTCCCTCTTTATTTTTTCTTAGACTCCTCTAATACGGCTAAAGTAATTTTGAGATGTATTAATTAAACAAATGGAAAGTGCAGCCTTGTTATTGAAAAGCGACGTCTTTTGTTATTGTTTTTCTGGTGGCATCCATTACTTACGCAACGACTAATCTATTTTTTGAAGAGTAATCCTATTTTAAAGTTTCCAAAACTTTCTATTTGAAATTTCGATGTATTTTTCTCCGAAAACAAAACTACAAAATTATTTATTTATATTATAATCTTTAAATTTGTTACTAGCTATGGATCCGTGCGTTGCACGGGTTTCAATTGATGTTTTAATTTTATGAAAAACATAAAAATGAGAAGAAAAATTTGTAATCATTAGATTTTTGCATATATTACGCGAAATTTATTTCAAAATTAAAAATTGTTTTTCTACATAAGATTTGGTTAATATTTATGTTTCAATAATATTTTTTTTATTGGCTATGTTTCAGTAATCATAGTACATAAACAGTTATTAGAAATTTTGAATTTAGGGGTAGAGAAAAATCCACACCCAAAAATTTAAATTGAATCTAACCCTCATAAATATGTATTAGAGTAGAATACAATAAATTAGAAAGTTGAATCAATGCAATCGAATTGGTGACCATATATGCACTTTGTATAATTTCTCTATCTTAAACGAAAATGTAGTGAATAAAATTACATCTCTATATTTAGAGACAAAATGGTCTTACTCTATACTTCTATAAAAAAAAATCTATTAAAAAATTATACAATTAAGAAAATCTACCTTTATAATACAATTTCACTATTTTAAAAGAAAATATACTAATGAATCTATAGGTGAATTGGAAATTATCTTATTTGTTTAACTAATACATTGAATCAACATTTTTATCATCTAATTTATAGGTAATGAGACTATTAATACATTATACATTTCAGTACTACTTTAATTCTTGTAGCCACAAACATGTACGTTGTGAAGACCATATTTTCGAATCCTTATTGTCTAAATAACTATTTATGAATAGAATTTACTAATTAAAAATTTATGGCAACCAAAACTATAATAAATCATAAATTATATTAGTGTATGTGTGTAATAGAGCTGAAATCACAATTATTAAAAAGTTATTGTAACTTCATTTCTATACGAATTTCAATATTGATATATATTGGATTCTCATTTTCTTTATAATATTTTCACTCTAGATTCATATTGATAGTAATAACATTTTCAAGAAAAAGAAATATGTATCTAACCTAAGTTATACTTTTTTGCATTAAAAACAAATTAGTTACATAAATATAACTATGTATAATATTTTTAATAATGGAAAAAGATAAAATAAATTCCTATTCGTTATATATTATTTTCAAAATAATTTTCTTCTCACTTTTTAGTAACAATAAAGACATTCTTTTATTAAATTGGTTCAGTTTAAACAATTTTCTGAATTCATTGTTTCTTGATGCTACATATCCATTATAACAATTTAAAATAAAAATGAAGTATAAGAAAATATTCCATAGTTAAATAGAGAAAATTTAATAAAATAATGTAGGACATTAGATTTTTTTTTTACCAAATACATATAAAGATCCGATACAGAGAGATAATAATAATAATAATAATAATAATAATAATAATAATAAAAAAAATTTCATGAGCAAACACCTAGTGTTTTTACTGTTGTCATATTTTTCATGAATAATCATAAGAAAATTAGGATGTTTTCATGTTAGGGTTTTATATGTCTTTGGTCATATAAAAATTAAACACATATCTAATACAACTATAATATGAAGAATTGTAACAACAATTTTTTTTTAAAGTTTTATTAAAGGAATAAAAAAGATAGACATCTATTGATATTAAAATAATAGAAAATAAAGAAAATACAGCATTCATATATTATTAATTTTAAAATTGTTGCTTTCTAAACTTTTCACTTATTAATAATTTCATGTTTATAAGGAAAATCACTATTAGATATTTATAAGAAAAATCAAATGTGTAGTTATTTAAAGGAAATTATTTATCTTAAACCAATGTCTACTAACTTTGTAATTATTTTCAACTCATATATTTTATTTTGACTTGAAAATAAGGTTTGCCAAAAAGGATTATTACCATTAAAATAAACTTATAGATTTTGTAATCATAATTAAACAAAAAAATTTTATTTAACCTTGCAAATAAGATTCTGGACAAAGGAATATTACAATTAAAATAAAATTATAAGAAGTCTTTTTACAATTTTAGATGTTTAGTATTTTTTAAACAGAAAATAATATTAAATATTTATAAGAAAAATATTTTTTCTAATATTTTAATATATAGGAAAGTCATATTAAATGATTTTTTTTATTTTAAACCCACGTCTAAAAACAAAATATTATTATTAAATAATTATTTATAAGGAAATATATTTTTTACTGCTTTTTAAAGACTGTTTAAAATTGGAAAACAAACTTTCTTAAAGTTTATGTTTACTATTTTTAAAAGTAAAATTAAATATTAAATTGATCATTTTTCAATTTTCTAAATTTATTATATTTTGAACAGAAAATACTATTAAATACTTTAATGAGAAATATTTGGTAAATATTTTTAAAATGTGATCAAATTTATATACAAATAGTTTAAAAAGAACATGCTGTTTAACACATGTCATAATTTTAAATATATAGTTTTTATTAAATATTATTTATATGGAAATTCAATTTTTACAGCTTTTGTTTATGATTGTTTAAAAAAAGGGAAACTAACTTTTAAAGATTATGTTTAAGATTTTTAAAAAGTAAAACTAACTATTAAATTATTTTGGTTTAAGTTTTATTAAATATTATTTATATGGAAATTCAATTTTTACAGCTTTTGCTTATGATTGTTTAAAAAAGGGAAAGTAACTTTTAAAGTTTATGTTTAAGATTTTTAAAAAGTAAAACTAATTATTAAATTGTTTTGGTTTAAGTTTTTTTTTATAAAAATTGTTATTTAATACATGTCATAATCTTAAATATATAATCGATATGTGTTGCGATCATGTTAATTAGTAACTTTGAAAACCAAGTTTTATATAATAAGATAGTTAAAGTAAATTTATAAAATATTTATATATAACAAACACACACATATATATATATATATAAATTATAAAACAATATTAATTAATAAAATCTTACACTAAAATATAAAACAATAAATACAAGTACATGTTACATATTAACTGCAAGCAAAATGCCATATTGTTTTCTAATTTTAATTTTGTTTTTAATACTAAATTACAAGAAAAATATTTTAAATTTTATTATAAATTTTTAATTTAGGTTTATATTTAAAATTTAAATTTATAGAAAGTAAAAATTAATTGAAATATTTATGAGATACTTATTATATTTGAAGTTTCACAACTCAAAACTTTAAATTTAATTATTTTTTAGAGAGAAAAAATCTTATATTTAAAGTTATAAAATTTCTTTTACTCTAATACTTATTCATACTCTCTCAATGAAATAATTTTATTTCCCTTAAAACGAAAAAGCAAAAAAAAACACAAAGAAAAAAAAAAACAATTGAAAACACACCAGAACGTTTTTTCTTGGTCTCTCTTTATATATTACACATACACACTAGTATCCTTGTCAAGCCCTGAAGTAAAGTTAAAAGATGGAGAGAGAAATGAGACGACCGAACCCAATCAACAGCTCTCGCCGGCCGGAGATAGGGGCCGGTAGTACTCAACTCCCGGAAAGCCCACGAGGCCCAATGGAGTTCTTGTCAAGATCCTGGAGCGTCTCTGCCTTGGAAGTCTCCAGGGCTCTCCACACTGCCAAAACAGCAGCAGCTCCGACCACAACAAGAACGCCTTCCCTTAACGCCACAATACCGGAAGAAAGTACAAACCCTGAGAAAGAAGAATGTCAGGCAGAGAACAGCCAGTTCTCGTTCTCTGCTTCTTCTGCAACTTCACAGCTTGTTCTTGAGCGCATTATGTCTCAGTCGGTACGTACGTTTAATCGGACATTCTTTGCCAGATAGACTCTGTTTCTGTGTCTGAATTTATAAAATGTTTTGAATAATGAAGGAGGTGTCACCGTTAACGTCGGGGAGATTATCACACAGTAGTGGCCCACTCAACGGCGGTGGTTCTTTTACGGAGACTGACAGTCCTCCGATATCTCCCTCTGATGACTTCGACGACGTCGTAAAGGTACTCTCTTTAATCAAATATACATATAATCCTTGATTTTTCACTTTTCAGAACCCGCATAAATCAAAACATATTTTACTCTAGGTAGCACAACATAATTACTATTCAGTTACAAAAAAAAAACATAATTACTTTTTTGCTATCAAAGTTTTAAAAGAAAAAGGAGTCCATGTTGTAATAAGAGAAAAAGTACAGTCAAAGTGAAAGCAGAGGCAAATCAAAGCTTTTAATTTTCCAGACAAGAGCAGATTTGACTTTGACTCCCCACTTTACAACCTGTTTTTAGCCTCTCACTCCCAAAAAAAAAGAGATACTTATATATTTTCCCTCCATTTTATAATATAAATATGAAACCAATCTTTGTGATTACTGAAAAATTGATACTTAAAAATAGGGGTCGTTGGGCATAATAATAATTTAAGGAACTGAAGCGATCAGAGCCGTCTGGGTCTTGGGACTATAAGACGCACTAAAGCCAGTCGGCGATCATTAAAAGCAGACCACAGTATATGCGACAAACTTGTTTCATTATTAATCGAAGGCATTTACTTTGAACAACTTTTAGACATGAGAATAGAAATGTGACTGTACCGCCTAGAGCTCCTTTATGTTTTGGCTCATTTTAAGAAACATTCTTGTCTAAATGCCTGCCACACTATTACTTTTATTAGTATCAATTACTAGTCTCCTCTTTATTTGCTGCTTTCGTATTTATCTAATTCAAAGATTATAACATTCACTTCGTTTATCTAAATCCAACCCCACTATTATTACCATTGCAGTATTTTCGTTCCCACAACACCATTCAGCCTCTCTTCTCCGGCACAGGAGGCTCCCGTGGTACCACTGGAAACGGCAGCAGTACCCCCGTGGCTGGAGCACCCCCTAAGACTGTTGGCAGGTGGCTCAAGGACCGTAAAGAAAAGAAGAAGGAAGAGAGTAGAGCTCACAATGCACATGTCCATGCAGCTGTCTCTGTAGCAGCCGTTGCATCTGCCGTCGCAGCTATAGCAGCAGCTACAGCTGCCTCTTCACAAGGTAAAAACGAGCAGATGGCCAGAGTTGATATGGCCATGGCTTCTGCTGCTGCACTTGTGGCCGCTCAGTGTGTGGAGGCTGCTGAAAACATGGGTGCTGAGAGGGATCATTTGACATCCGTTGTCAGCTCTGCGGTGAATGTTAAGTCTCATGATGACATTGTCACACTCACGGCGGCTGCTGCAACAGGTACTGGTATTATAACACTGCCTAGTAATCAAACTCACTTCTGACGTGAATTCGTATGTACGTTTTGCAGCTCTGCGAGGAGCAGCCACATTGAAGGCAAGAGCGCTTAAAGAAGTATGGAACATAACTGCTGCGTTGCCAGCCGACAAAGGTGCAAGTTCAGCGGCGCTGTGTGGTCAGGTTGAAACAAAGCATAGCGGTAGTAGCTTTAGTGGAGAATTACCCATAGCTGGGGAAGACTTCCTTGGCGTCTGTAACCAGGAACTACTAGCTAAAGGCACTGAGCTCCTCAAACGAACTCGTGGAGGTACCCTAAAGCTAGATGACATTAAGATTAGCAGTTAAAGAAAGCGGGCCAAATTGTGCTGACCTTGTATATTGTAATCAGGTGATCTCCACTGGAAGATTGTTTCTGTCTACATGAACAAAGCAGGTCAAATTGTGCTGAAAATGAAGAGTAAACACGTCGGGGGGACATTCACGAAGAAGAAGAAACGTACACTACATTTCCTCTTCTATCAACCAGATACTAGATAAGCAAAGTTTGATTTGTCTTTTTACATTTTTGTGAATATGCAGATATGGTGCTGGAAGTGAAAAAGGACATACCGGCGTGGGCAGGCAGGGATCTGTTTAACGGGGACAAGCATCACTACTTCGGCTTGAAGACAGAGACAAAGAGAGTCATCGAATTTGAGTGCAGAAACGAAAGGGAATATGAGATATGGACTCAGGGAGTTTCCCGCCTTGTAGCCATCGCTGCCGAGAGGAAGCAGAAAAACTCCATGTCCAAATGGTGATGGCACCTTAATAACATTTTAAAAAACTAGCAGAGAGAGAGAGAAGTATATGCTTTTGTCGAAATTCCTATGATAACTAAGAATAGGTTCTAAAAACATCAAGGAGTAGAAGACAATTCCCTTTTGTAATATCCTTTTAATTCTATTGATTGAAGAGATAACTTCTAAAGCTAACAACTTCCACAAGTACAACGTATTAGCTTCCATTTTATGTTACAACGTATCAAACAAACACAAATTTAACTGCAGAGGGACAAATGAATTTAAACAGATAAGAGTAGATAGCAAATACATATATGTTCTAACTATCAGCAGCTCTCAAGAGAGAGAGCAGAGATAGGAAGAGATTAATAACGTCCAGGTAAAGCGATACAGCAGCCCAAATGTACTCGTCATAGGAGTGTCTCTTGATCAAGTTATCCGTATCATACACAATGTAGCCACAAAAGATGATGGATGCCACACAACCATAGATCATCACCGAGATCTTTCCTAGAGGGAAGAGAATCTGCATAGAAATCAATCAAATGTGATCAAAACACAAATTACTGAAACGAAGGCAAAGGAGGCTCCCTGTGGTGATCGGTTATAACGGTTACCTGGATGAAGGAGAAGACCATAAGGACAATGACAGCACCGAAGAGGAAGGGACCGAGGAAGTTGAAGTCATAGCCTCTCTTGGCAGCCCAGAAAGTGTAGAGAGTGAGGGAAACCACCACAACGGCCGTTAAAATAACAGACTCGAGGATGACTTTCCCGCTGGTGAAGGCGCAGGTCAAGCCAACGGCAAAGGCGAGGGAGACGGTGAAAATGGCGAGTAATAGGTAGTTAACGGGATGCTTCTGGTGGTAGTAATACAAGGGACACATAACTGCAATTCCAAAAACAAATATGTGAGAAAGGAGGAGGAGAGGAGAGTAGAAGGGAGGATATGGAGAAGCGGAGGGAGTTACCAATCAAAGGAGTGAAGATGAGAAGGATGTAGAGGGCGAAGCCGGCGCTGGTGGTGGTGAAGAAGACGGATACTGGATGAACTTTGACGACGGTGGCTGCGACGGCGATTGTGACGAGGAGCTGGATGGAGATGATGGAATAGACTTTACGGATGAAAGACCATCGGAGCTCGGGGCTCTCCATCATCGTCGGGTATAGAGGAGTCTGAGCCGACTCCAAATCATACTTATCGTTCCACATCTTCCTGATCAGAATGAATCAAAGCGCGAATCGGCGATGAATTTCAGAACAAAATTCGATTGAGAAGAGAGAGCTATGCAATTGGGATCGGCGGAGGGGAAATATGTAGAAGACGACGACACCCAAGAGGCGGCGAATTAGAGAAACTTCCCGATACGTCGAGCAATTAAAATATTCTGACGTCTCAGATCATGACACGTGTAGTCTTCCGTGGGCCTCTTGAGAGTCTGAGCTAAGCTATCCTCTTTCCTCTTTTAATATTTATGGGCCGGTGGCCCAGATATTACTACGTTATTTGGTGCTAAAATATTCGTTAGTTTTTGGCTTCACACTGCTAAAACTTATCCATCTTGATTTTCACCTTCCATTCACATTATGGTTTGATTAGGGGGTGAACCTCTAGATTCACCAACCAATAGAATAGTGTTATTTCATATTTGATATCTTTTCTAGAATGAAATAAAATCTTGTTAAGCTATATTCTTTTTTAAAAATAAAAATAGAAAAAAATATTAATATTAAAAAAACGAAAAAAACTAAAAAAATATATTTAATACTAAAACACTAAACTCTAAACCCTAATCCTAAACCCTAAACCCTAATACTAAACCCTAAACCCTAATCCTAGACCCTAAACCCTTGGGTAAATCATAAACCCTTTGAAAAAATCTTAACCCTTAGGTAAATTAATATTAACCAATTATATTGTTTTTTATTTATTTTTATCTTTTTATTTTAAATCACATGTTTTTATTTTAAAGATATATTAAAATATTTTTGTTTTAAATTATTTTTTGCAATTATTACTGTTTTTATTTTATTTTTATCTTTTATTTAAAACATAATATAATGTTAAAATATATTTTTAAAGATTTTTTTTCGTTTTTTGTAAATATTATTATTCTTATTTATTTTGTTCTAGTTTTATTTAAAAAAAAAAATATAATTTGACAAAATTTTGTTTTCTTTTTTAAAAGATATCAAATATGAAATAACATCATCCTATTGGTTGGTGAACCTAAGAATAAGTCGTAAAAAAATGGTTTTCCTACGTTTTATTCTATGTTTATAAACAAAAAAGAAAAGCACTGTCCTGGCTTTTTAGCTGACCGAATTAATGCAATAAATCACCTTGGATTGAAAGTGATCGAATGCAAGTGCATTAGCTAGATATTAAAATCCTAATGAGTTTCCTTTTCCAAGAGAGATAGTAATTCGTGAAGACACAATATTAACACGAAATTTCAGGAACTTACAGGTAAAAAGACTCAAGAATACATGTATACATAATGTTTTCTAGTTTTTGGGCTATTACTCATTTACAAGTTAGGGCTTCACTTGACTTGTGATAAATATACAACTCAAGTCTTCTCCACAGGCTTCAAGACAAGGATGTTTCCAATCAATATCAAACCACCACTTGTTTTGTATGCCAATTCATAACCAGCAAGTGGTTAAAAGCTTACTGCAAAAGAAAACGTGTCCTTTTTTCTTTACAATCAGGAGCTCGGGGGAGGCTGGAAATAAGGGTGCTGCAGAGCTTCATCAACATTCAATCTGTCCTCCTACACTCCCCACACAAATATCATCCAAATAACCCAATGCTCTTTAAGGATACAGATAATTTTTGCAAGGTTTATATATATATATAATGTGAAAAGACAAGAGGATCTCACAGGGTACCACTGTAATAGACTCCGCACCAACCTTAAAGCCCAAACATTAGGAAACCTGCATTTTCCTTTCCACATTTCAGAAAAAAGCTGTACCCAACATCTCTCTCTAAACTACCTTCATGTCAAAAGAATCATCAAACTAACCCAATTTTAAGAGGGTCTCTATTCTTTATCTGTTCTCCAAAAAATTCTTCAGAGCATTTCCATGACGCAAGCGAAATCCCAACCTACATCCCACAATATATATAACCTTTTGCATAAGAGAATAACAACCCTAAATCCAAATTAAATTCATCCTGGCTGTAGTCACTTGCATGGATCACTATGAGGCAAAAAAAAGAAGCTGAATTGCTTGCCCATAATAATTGAACAACATAATCTCATCAATTCAATATCAAACTCTATATTTGAGACAAGTCAAACAGAACATAGGTATATAAAATTTACTAACCATGGTCACTCAATGGAACAAACTGTCCTTTACCTGCTTCGAGCTGGCGCCACCATGTTTTAAAGAGCTACCTGGGATTAGGATGCACATTTCCATAAAGGATCGAAGCCTGCCACCCAACATTGAAATTCAAACAAAAATAACTAGTTGTCACCAAAATGGTTGGTCTCAAGCAAAATGATTTACACTCCTAAATGTAAACTTACTTGTATGCAAGCTCTTTAAAGTTTTCACTCCAACCTCTGATATGTTGATCCAAAAGGGCACGTGTAACAGAACTAATCTCAAAAACATTTGGTGATCCTAAAATCATTTCTAACATCACAACCCCAACACTCCACATATCGTATCTGCAAGAAAAAAGTGTCATATTTTGGGCCAGGGTCAGTTGGAGCTACGCCTTTTGTTTTAATAAAAAAAGTAGAACTCCCAGTCTCCCATACTTCACGGTCAAACTGGTCGGCCCACGGTGCCAGCTGCTGTTCAGAATGGCTTCGGGAGGTGCGTAATCATGAGTTTGTTCTGCTCTGAATTCAAGATAATCCAAAACATTGTGATAATCAGGGTTCACCAACCAGCGAAGAAAGAACTTCGAAAATAAACGTACAAAGAAATAAAGAAATACCTTGAAGGACCTACTGAACCATAATAATGTTTCATTGTGAATTCATCAAGTGCACTGCCAAAGTCGATGATGCGCCTAAAAAAGAGATAGTAACACCATCAGTTACCAGGAAACAAAAAAATAACATAAGCGGAGGACTAAAAGAATAAACTAGAAGTTTGTTTACATTTTAGTTTTGAAGTTGTAATCTCCATTCGGTGCACCCTTTAAGCATCTGCCTGACTTGACGTCTTCAAGGCATATCACCATATTCTCTAAGGAACATGCCATGCATCCATTGTAATTAATTTCCGTGAGAATAGTCATCACTCACAGATTGTACACTATATGAACTACCATTAACATCAGAGTACTTCTTACCGGGTTTTATATCTCTGTGAGTAATATTGCGATCATGGCAGGCCTTAAGACCCAGCAGCTGAAAAGAAGGTTAAAGTGTAAAACGACAAGCAAGGACAGATACGATTAGATCCCCACGATGCATCTTTCAAACACAAGAACAAAATCAAAACATTCTCAAAGTCCTACCAATTGCCATATTATTCTGCGCATTTCTTCTTTTCCTGATTCTGTTGTCTTCAACCAGGTCCACCAGTTTGACGGACGAAGTATCTGCGCATGACTTGCCTCTTCAGCCTTTTCACCAGCATGGATATCTTCTACAGTGTACATCAGCTTTGATAAAGACACACCCTCGTGATGAAACACAAGCCATATGTCATTGTATCGAGATTCAAAATACTCTATGTATCTCGCAATATGTTTCAAACCCTCTTCAGAGAGATCCATATCTGATGACGCTGATTGAGGACTTGACTTTTGCGCAGAAGGACTCCCACTTATACTGTATGCATTTAGAAACAATTCACCAAAATGTTTCTCCCTTAGACCACTTAAATACACAGTTGGTCCTCTCTCTACCTGTTTAGGAAAAATAACAGACAATGTATAAATTTAATTTGTGAAAGTACTTGCATCTACAAGACACCATGTAGGCCGATAGATAGATGACATAACGAGCAGGGAGCTAACTCTTGCAAAGAATAACCTATGCCAGATCCTTAATAATTTATTTATGCAAGAACCACTCAGTCTGAAACCATTTTTTTTACTGTAAGCAATAAGTGGTGGAGAACCACTGCCACCCCATTAATAACCCGAGAGTAATGTCCACATCACAGATACGCGTCTTCTCGCTATCACTCTAAGCATACAAAGCTAGAGAAAAAGCGAAAAAAATGGCAGACACATATCATATATAGAAGGAAGGATAAAAAAGTCCCAAAAAAGAGCACACACCATTATACGTTTCAAAATGAAGGAGTTATCAGGACCATTAGTATCATAATGATCTGTAGATGTACTGCTAGTTACGTTATCAGCGTATTCATTGGTATGACCACCACTTGTAGCGTTACTTCCTTGATAGCAATTCCAGTGAAATGCCAACCACACCTCACCAAATGCACCACGCCCAAATTTTTTCTTCAGAACATAGCTAAAAATCACATAGCGTTACACACTTTCATCAGACATTTTCTAAAAGTATTTTTCTACTTGAAAAGATAACTGTTTCCATAATATGGAAGCACTAATTCCAACATGTTTCTTTGTGAGAATTAGTGTACTGACGGAAAGTCAAGAGCATGAAAGAACGAAACGTTTGGCGTAAGGTTGCTATTGCTAATCAGAACTAGTTAAATCAGGAACAGAGATGGAAAACGGAAAAATAAAAACTTATCAATCATGAAGGAAAAGAAGAAGGCACCTCGAGTCCGGAAATGGAATCTCCTCCGTCCCGTTACCAAAACCATGTAAGGGTACAGATTCAAGTAACCCAAGGAAAGTAGCAAAGCTATCAGGATTGATGCACTGGTCTTGATTCTCGTTAACAGCCGTCGCAGAAGGCAAACACCAGCCTTTATCACCGGGTAAATGTTCAGAATGCACCGAAGAAGGAAAGAATCAAGGATATGCTTACAAATAAATGCTAGTTCATTGGAACTAAAGAAACAACAACAATAAGGATTCTGAAAATAAAATGCCCTCTAAGAAATTTTCATTTACCAGAGAATGGCTCAACAGATGCTGGTAAAACCTGAGGCAAGTCATTCACGTAAGCATTCAAATTGTCCCATTGTACCAGAGACGTACCAACAAGGTGCTCTGACATATAAAAGCAAGCAAAGCTTCCGTTTTTAACTTCAACCTAGCATAAGAAGTATGGCCAGATCATATAAGTTTAATATTTTCCAAGTCAACAATGCAAACAAAACGATTGGTTAATCCCATATTGACAAAATGGTGAGATAATTCATATCATAATGATATGTCAGAGAATGCCTTGGAACAAAAAAAAAGATGAATAGGAATAGTGGAAATCTTGCAACTGCGTCATACCAGTAACCTGTTGAACATGGTTGCATGTGGATGTGGTTGAGCCTGCTTGAATGTCAATGGACCCGAATTTATATCATCAGGTACTGTTGAAAAGACAAAAAACCTGATTAGCAAAACATGAGACATAATGCGGATATCAGAAATTTGATTGCAACCAAACAAACTAACGTGGCAGTGCACATGTGTTGCTCGGCAGAGCTGAAGTAATCTGATATTTGTTGTCACCCATACTCTGCTCCTTTCGTTGGAGCTGAGAAACAAGATTAGATTTTAGAGGAACAACAACAGCAGCCATATTATCCATGCTTCCCTTGTCAAAGGCAGTATTGACCAAGCAGTCTGCCAAAGAAACAGAGCAGTAAGAAGGCAGTCCTGCTCCATAGCTGGTTTGATTGTTTACTTCCCCCAGACGATCACATACATCTTGCACCTTCAATTTTTCAAAGATGCCATCAGATGAAACTACCAAGTAGCTGTCATTAGCCAGTAGCGGCTGCCAGTCCAACACCTCAGGTGCAGAGATGACACCGTAACTGAAACAGATCAAAACTCATATTTCATCTTCAACGGAAAAAAGAAAGAAAACAAGATACAAGCAGCAATGGCCCAACCTTTTAAAAGTAAGGTCGCCAATAGCACGGGAGACAGCTAGTTGACCGTTAACTCGTGACACACCGGCCCACTCAGTGACATAACCTCCGGCAGCTTCAACACGATTTTTTTCATCTTCTCTATTAGGATGATGATCTTTTGTCAATTCTTTGGCAATCAAACGCAGTCGCCCATTGCTATGTTCCAGTTTGAAGTCAGAGAACCTTGATGGGGAAGAAGAAGAGTCTGGATTGCTCCTTCGCTCCCTGTACAGCTTCACTAAAGTAGCTGCAATAAGAAGATACACAATTGCAAAATAAAATATTTATATCAAACTTCCCTTAAAATTATAGAAAAAAAGATATTTTCTAACCTCTAGCTTCTTCGGGAGTCTCAAATTTTTCAGAGCACAAGAGTGCCTTGGAGTCACCAATACTGGCAACCATTAGATGACCATCAGCGAAAAGTGCAACAGTAGCCGTAGAACCTGAATTCAACTTTCGGTTAGATGCTTCCTGGAGAAAAACAAAGGATTTAGCTGGTTACATCCTCCTAATCAAGAAACTGATGCGGAGATGTGTAACTATTCACAACTACTATATATACCTTTGTAAATGTGGCATCAATGTCATGGATGGCTCGCAGCAACGCTTCCTTTATAATATCCAAGTGAAGAGAATCATCGAAATTTAAGGGCAATGAGTCTCTCAACTGCATATTAAAGTCAATGATTTCATCTCGTTTACTTGGCAACCGCTTCGTCATGGTGGTGATAGAAGAAAAGGTAGCGTCCAAGAGGAAGTTGATATGCAAGGCGAAATAATCCAATAAAAGTCTGGAAGCCATGTCACTTGCTTCAGCGCCGTTATGGCCGTCGAAGACAGCTGCAATGCCAACCAAAACGTCCTTGGTTCCTCCACTCTTGCTTCTTGGAAAGGGGATGCGAAGATCGAGAGCACATAGAAGACGGTCCTCTTGGTATTTGCGGCGACCTTGAAGCGAAGCCGTGTGGCAACGAGCATCTCCTCCAGTGCGTGAATGTGAACGAGAAGGCCAGTTCCAACGAGGACATTTGGGGGATTGGAACACAGCGGGAGCTCCTCCTTGTTTGTAAACCGTCAGACACGTGGAAGATTCCCCTCCGCAATAGCCCGCGAAGAAGAAGAAGGCGATGATCAACCCTAGATTTGATTTCACACTGGCCTTCATCTTCCCTAGTACATGATTTGAATTAAAACTGATCCATTAATGATTGGATTAGTAGTTATTGAGCGGTAATGGAATAATAATAACGAACTCTTTCCTAGTAACTAGAAGATGGAGGAACGCACATTCAATTGAAATAATACATGATGATCGGTTACGCTCGCCGGCTTCGGTTGAAGGTGAAGTCGAGAGATTGGATTGAAGACGGTGAACCAGTGATGTTAGGAGTTTTCAAGGCTCCTAGTCAAATGTTGTATAGTGAACCAGTTCTGAGGGAAGTAAAAGCGATGAGAATGCAAGTACTAACTTAATCTAAGTGCAATCGAATGTTTGGTTGGTTTTAAAGTGAACTAAAACTAAAATGTAAATAAACGATATGACTTTAACTATGAAGGTAAATGAGAACTCATGGGCATTGGGAATGTGACCTTGGGTGATCATGTTTCGAATCAAGATGGANCAAGCAATCATTAAGAGTGGATCTAATAGCTATTTTAACACCTTTAACAACAAGTGTCCTTGGTAAAGACTGTTAAAAGCATAAAAGAGTTGACTCAGACATTTCATCGAACACCTTTTGAGTGGGAAATGTCTAGAGATCAACCTTTGAATGATCAGTTCAAAGAGAGCTTTAAGATTACTCTAATATGCAAGGAACATGAAGAATCTACACGTAAAACATCTTGACTCTAACCTAATCACCCTTAGTCTCCCTAACCCATGAATTCAAAGGTGATTACTCACTAAGGTTCATGATCATTCTTAAATCCATTCTAGGTTTCAGATTGATCATAAACAGAAACAGAAATCGACAAGATGAACAATTAGAACAAATAGAAAATCAATGATTCCAATAGAATATCTTTCAATAGAACTTAGTTTTTACCAAATGAAAATCTGAATAATCTGCCTCTCGAGGCTTACAACATACTTAAACTTAGGTTTTAGAACAGAAAAAACGAGCATACAAAAGTCCAAAATGCCCTAAAAAATGTTTAACTTCGGGTAGGAAATCGACCGCAGCGGCCAGGCACACCCGCTGCACCCTGGCCGCTGTGTGGGATGCGGTTGGAGCGGCTAGGGTGACCCGCTCCAGGCACCCGCTGCGATTTAA